CTCCAGTGCCTCATTCTCGTCACGTTCATCTTCGGCGTCGATGAGAGCGTCATGGAGGCTGGCAAGAGGGCCCTCATTCGGACCTGCAGCCATCCTAGAAAAAGGCGTTATCTTCCCGGTTCGAATGAGATAATCTCTACGAGATTCATTTGGCATGCGCCCTGCCCCGGTTGCCTGAGTGCCAGCTTCGAGACCCTCATGTCTGTCATCAATTCGCTGTTGAATTTCTTTCAAGTCATTCTCTAGCGAGGCGTTGCGAGATTCTAGCTCGCTCAACTCGTTCTCTAACCGGACTCGAGCAGACGTGCCAACTGGCTGCGACAAACGCTGATGCAGTTTGAGGATTTGGGCCTCGAGTTTCCTAATCATTGAGGTATCAGCATCTTAACGTAGACGCCGGTATAATAGAAGGCATACTCTTTTTCGAGGGTGGTCTTTTCCAATCTCTTCTTGTCTCGTTCGTCAGCTTGCTCCATGAGCAATCTGTCGGCCTAGCATAGTCAGACTAGAAAGCACTTCATGTCAAGAAGATTGTAACCTGGTACCTGACGAGATATGTCCCTTTCAAGGTCATCCTGATCGCGTATATCGGCCTGTAGTTCTCGTAGACGGCTTACTTCATCGGTCACTGCAGAGGGATCTTCTTCCTGCTTTGAGGCAGCCACTGTCGCCACTTCAGCGAGATTCGAGGCATCCGATCCCTCGGTCCTCTGCGGTGTCTCAACCACTTCCATTTCAGCGGAGCCATCACCCTCATTCTTCACGCTGCGATCCATGATTGAAGCACGACAGAAATGCCAAGGATGGCTATTCAGGCAATCCAACAGCTGTGACACCCTGCAGATCAAGACCTCCACCCATCAAATAATAAGCTTCAACGATGACGGAGCAGTGCAGCTTCAGGAAATCACCACCGTCATTTCTGTAACAGGTGGCGCTGTCAAGGATCTATGAGTGATATCCAGGCGGCGACGGACTTGACCTCAGTAAAGCACGGCGCTAAGTACGATTCGAGTCCAAGACAACCTTCTCATATGCAACTATCATAAAAGGATCCGAAGAGGTTACAGAAGAGGAAAGCTCGTCTGATGTCATGATCGAAAAAGAGCCTTAACATGAAAAGCATCTACATTCTCACAGTGGTATCTACGGCAGAAAGATTTCGCCGACTGCCGCCTAGTCTGACCGCCTTCGATGCACATACCAACAGTCACGTCACTCTCTTGAGCCTTGGCAGTGGTTCTTCTGGCCCAGTTTCCACTTCCAAGCCAGCTTTGGGCACCGGAATCTCCTGTAGTATCGATATTTAGTATGCACGGAGTACGGAGTACAGCGACATGGTTCCCGCTTCTTTTTAGAGGCAATCCTAATGAAGGATGATCATTTGCCGAATCGCGAGACTCCTTCGAGGCTGCCCTATGTCCACTTCACTTGTCGTGGACTCGAGCTGTCCACCTTAGTTCAGCTATTCCCTGCAAGCGGCGAAAACAATCATATTCCATGAACGCGCCAAACAAGACATTATTCTCCAGATGCTTGCAGAAATGACTTCAGATCTACAGAAGAGCTGATCTTTATGAATGGGAAATTCAACTAGACTCCTCCTTTTTCACAAGCATTGCTTCAAATAAGGATAGGCTCTGTTTTACTTCTCAAGGGATGACATATCGTCCCCAAGAGGCTGGCTGGTCGCGGTGGATGAGAGGAGGCAGGCAACAATTGTGACTTGCCTTTGCCCTGGATTAGCAGAAAATAACAATCGTCAACATCAGAATTCAGGAGCAGTAGTAGGTAGTTACTCCATACTCCCTCACTGTAGAAATATCAAGTCGATCCATCACAAAAAATCCTCTAGTCGTGAGATCAGCAAGCTCTCTCATTCCCATTTTTGCCTTTCCCGGCGAAAGCCAAAGCCCAAGCCCAATCGCAGCCTGAGGCAGACGCAACGCTCCCCTCGAGATTGAGGCATCATCTATCTCCACCTCCACGAACCTTCGCCTTCTTCCTCTCTTCCTAAAACCCCTCCGCATTACTTACTTCCTGCTCGAGCCATTCCTCAGCGGCCATTCGGACTGGACTTTGTTTCCAGATCCTCCACAGTCTATCTTCTTGACTGTGTACTTCCGGTCTGGAATCAAACACACATCCTCCTGTGCTCTAGCTATTTACTGCATCCCCCTTCGGCTTGTCAGTCAGCTGGCTGCACCGATAGATACTGGCAGCCCGTCGTACCCGCCCCCCCGTCACTGACTTGGAACTGCGACCGCCCTTGGTGGACAGGACGCCGGTGGCCATCAATCAACCCTCACCACCGGAGTGATAAGTCATTCGGATAATGAAGCACTGTATAGTTTACGTCTAACGCCAAATATTTCGAACCGCCTCGTCGTCTCCGCCTGATTGCGCTACGTGCGTCTGCCGCCCCCGCTGCTATCCTCCCCTTTCGATCGCAGTGCATGTGCGCTGTCAACGGCGACAGACGATCGTCCATCCTCGATCGTCAACTCTCACTCGGGTTCTTCGAGATATTGTGAGGGGAGGTCTCCCGAAGAGATGGATTCTCAGTGGCAGCCATACCAGGACCCCTTGATGGGACGTCCTGCGCAGTTCAACAATGGATTGACGTCTACTCCCCAACAATTAGCCCCCAAATATAGTGGTCAGCCGCAACAATCACAGCCGCCCGTGGGATATACCTATGAAGCCTTTCAAACGCCCGGGACAGCAGCAAAACCCCCCTCGGCCGGCACAAACTCCAAATCGGTATCTATGGCGTCGTCGCCAGCCGCGACGCCACGTAGTCGCGATTATGTCACCGACGCCGACACCACCATGGAGGATGCGGACCCGTACAACAGGGCGAAGTACTCTGCGCGACCGAATCATCATAGTCGACCATCTTCTCAATTCTTCTCTCCTGAGGAGTCCTCGGCTGCCCGAAGGTACTCCCCGATGAATGTTCTGTCGCCGTCCTTGTCTTACAATACTAGTCCTGGAAAGTCTCAGAACTCATATGCTTTCCCACCCGGGCCAAACAACTCTCGCCGGTCGCCAACCAGAGCTCTAAACTACTCCTCACCCCCTCAGCCGTTTCAGTCGCCTCCTTGTAAGTCTTCTCATCGATAAATTTGGGAATCGGTCATGTCTAACAGTTTGGATGTGATAGCTGTGTCACGTCCTCCTCGGCTCCCTCCGCTGCAGCCTACCGAGATGGGCTCCGACCAATTCTACCCGCCTTCAGCAGGATCTCAAGTCAACGCTCCCTTTGGACGAGATGAAAGATCGCCCCGGTCGGGATCCATATCTGGTGCGAGCAAGCAAGTGGGTCGAGGGCCAGTGCCGAAATTTCAAAAGATCAAGTCGGTCCAGGAGCTCCAACCCCGCATTAATTCGCAGCCGCCATACAGACGTGCCAATCCAGAAGGGGGTTTCATTAGTGTAAGTGTTCATCCACCGGCCAATACGGTTTGTTGCTAAATGAGGATACAGCCCCTTCAAGCGTTAACCACTCATCTTCCGGCCACATACCGTATCTGCAATCCAAGCTTCAATTACGAGTCTTCGCGAAATCCGAGACGTGTCCTTACAAAACCAAGCAAGGGTGTCAAAAACGATGGCTATGACAATGAGGACAGCGATTATATTCTCTATGTGAACGACATTCTTGGAAGCGAAGAAGCTGGTCACAAGTGAGTTTTCTCAACCGACTCTTTCGCCCACATTTTCAGGCCATCTGTATTGACACATCTCCAAGGAATCGTTACCTTATCCTCGACGTGTTGGGCCAGGGGACATTCGGTCAAGTCGTCAAGTGCCAGAACCTGAAAACGCAAGAGGTTGTTGCCGTGAAGGTCATTAAGAATAAGACTGCATACTTCAATCAGAGTATGATGGAAGTTTCGGTCTTGGACTTGGTAGGATCCCAAAATCCTTTGCTCGAAACAATTCTAACCTTCCTCCTTGCAGCTTAATAGCAAATATGACAAGAACGACGACCACCACTTACTTCGTTTGAAAGACACTTTCATTCATCGGCAGCATCTCTGTCTGGTTTTTGAACTGCTTAGTGTCAATCTTTATGAATTGATCAAGCAAAACCAGTTTCGTGGTTTGAGCACGACTCTCGTTCGTGTTTTTGCTCAGCAACTGCTCAACGCGTTGAGTCTCCTAAACAAGGCTCATCTGATTCATTGTGATCTCAAGCCCGAGAACATATTACTGAAGAAGTGAGTAGGGATTCGTGCCTGAGGACAAGCTCCTGAACTAACGTCGATTTCCAATAGTCTTGAAAGTCCAATTATCAAAGTCATCGATTTTGGCTCTGCTTGCGATGAGCGACAAACGGTCTATACGTATATCCAGTCGAGATTCTACCGTTCCCCTGAGGTGTTGCTCGGCTTACCGTACGTCCCCTGTCTTCTTCGAGCTGGCATCAAAACTAACTCGAGCAGTTACTCGTCCGCAATCGATATGTGGTCTCTTGGTTGCATCGTCGTCGAGCTCTTCCTTGGTCTGCCTCTTTTCCCTGGCTCCTCTGAATACAATCAGGTCTGTCGAATTGTGGAAATGCTCGGTCTACCCCCGACTTGGATGCTTGAAATGGGCAAGCAGTCGGGTGAATTCTTTGAGAAGACCCAAGACGAGTTCGGTCGCAAGACATACCGCCTGAAGAGTCTAGAACAATATTCCCGGGAACATAACACGAAAGAGCAACCGAGCAAAAAGTACTTCCAGGCATCCACGCTTGAGGAAATCATCCGAAGCTATCCAATGCCCAGGAAAAACATGAAGCAAGCTGAAATCGAGCGAGGTTCGTTCTCCAGACAGCTCCATCTTTCCACTCGCTGACATCTCGTCCAGAATTGAACAATCGAGTGGCTTTCATCGACTTTGTTCGTGGACTGCTGTCAATCAACCCCCTTGAGCGATGGTCGCCTCAGCAAGCCAAGCTTCACCCTTTCATTACGCAACAGAAGTTTACAGGGCCCTTCGTGCCGCCAATGAATCTAAAGTATTCCTCACTCAACAAAACCATTCCACCTGGAATACAGCAGCAACAGCAGGCTGAGGCTGCGAGCAAACAACGAGCGGCTCAGGCGGCACATGCACAGTCAGCGGCCCAGAATGCATACTCAATGCAGATGAATCAGTTCCACACACCATCTCATGCCCAGGCCCCGCCCATGTACAACGGCATGTTTACGGGCCATCAGCAAGGTGCCCCGCCTCCATACCCTACCCAGCCTCCAGGCTACGGCCATCAGATGAACCTTATGCCAGGCCAGATGCCTCAATCGCAATATGCACCGTCTCAGAGCCTCTACGCTCAAGCAACCACTAGAGCTGGTCGCCAGCGCGCATCCACCATGGATCATCAGGGGGGAGGAATTCCGCCAACTATTCAACGTGTTGCCAGTCACCTGGACCCGAATGCCCCCATTCGACTTCAGCCCAGCCCGGCATATTACCCACCACCTCCTGACGGATATGTCGACAACAATGCTCAGCGACGCCGGGGAAGCCGTGCAGGGGCCGGTCAGCGTAACCGAGACTTCATTCGGACTCTCGAGGACGGCGTTCTTGGCGACAGCTATATGACCCAGAGCCAGTGGCACTGATCAGACAAAAGATCCAAGCAGTCAGTCCGTACTGGTTGTTGTCTGGAACATAAGCTTGCTACTTTCTACCGTCAACTCTGCTTTGTCGAGCGAGAGTGTGCTCCAGGTGCGTTTTCACAATTTTAAGCGCAGAGCTACTCCAAGATATCTTCCTACATCGTTTGGAACGTACCGTGCTCGATCTTTCCTTCCCGTGCCCTTCGGTCTGCGGCGGCTCTTACGACGTCAGCCAGTTTCATCATGTCAACGCCAGCCACTACCCCAAGTGTCATCTCCTGAGAGCACTTAGTAAAGGCTACATCTTTGGTTCGAAAAGGGGCCCAACTGGAACGGGACGGAGTTATATTGTAACATCAAGGCCCTTCGCCGTGATGAGATAGCCTCTACGTCTAGTAGACGGGATATATTCGCCAATCTTGAGCGTGGCTTTCTCCGGTGCGAGCGGCCCATTTTATTATAGCCGAGCATCCTGATCTGGTTGCTTTTCCTTCTATGAGCAATCTTTCCCAACGAGATCATTGTGTTCCATGCCTGGACATTAGTCATGAGTCGCATGATAAGGGCTGTTGCCAAGATTGTTTCTTTCTGTCACCTCACCATCGTGTTAAAATTTTCCTTTCCATTTCTCATTGCTATCTTTGTGGCGAGGCCAATTTTTATTCCCCCGTTGTCACCTGATGTTGTCTGTCTCTTGTTTCCTTTCATCGCTGCTCAACAGAGGCATTGCTATAGCTTGGATACCTAAATTTAGAAAGTCAAAGTTCGATGGATATCAGAGAAAGGACATCCTTCTCGATCCAGACTAGTGGTTGTTCCTGCCCTCCATGTTACACACTCAACCAGTCTGTCTGCCTGGTAGATAAATTCAATCTCCTTGGCAAGAAATATGCGTCAGGGTGACCCTCCTCACGTAGACTCGAATTTCGATTGACCGTACTAAGTATCTTGCTCATTTTTGGGGGTAATCCTTAGCCACGAGTCTGATTTGCTTATGATTGCAAGATTTGAGCGGCAAAACGATGGCCAGCGCCTTCACTCCTCGGATCACTAAGACACTAACCCGCGGTAATATCATATACTGTCTGAATGAGTCACAGTCCAAGAAGTGTTGGCTTAGGCCGTGCATGACTGGAGGGGTTGAACCCAGTCAAACATGGATGGTGTACGGAATAGCCGTGCAATCGGCTGCTGTATCGCTTCCGACAAAACTACTATCAGGAAGGCCCCCAATGCATTTCAGACGCCTCGAGAACATTGGTATAGAACTTACAAAAGCATAAGGAGCTAGAGGTATCATTGGCTATGAAGCTATTCAGATACATGGATTCTTGCATACAAAAGAGTCGCGGGGAAGGGCGGTGCAAACAGGACAAACTGCCATATACGGTTAGGTGCCGACTCGCTTAAATTTCGTGTGTGGCTCGCGCGGCCAAACTCGCTGCGGCTAGGAACCCTCACTTCACAACTGAATTTGCCATCAGGCACGGGCAAACAGATCAAGAGGGCCGTTACCCTGTCCACCACCTCATCACACCGCGCGTCTTGTCCGGCATCAGCAGAGACGGCCAATTTTTGAACAAGTTCGCGACCACCTTTTTTCGTCGGGTAACCCATCGAACCGCAAACATGTCGCGTTTCTTTTACGGCAGTGGCAGCGACAGCGACAGCTCGTCTGACGAGGAGGAGCTTTACAGCGATCGCGAGGAGGAGGAAAAGTCTGAAGAGGAAGAATCCAGCGAGGCGGAGGAGGAGACCTCGGAGGAGGAGTCCGACGAGGAAACGGGTGGTAAAACTGGTGCTAGTGCTTTCTTGAAGGATGTGGCTTCCGACAGCGAGGAGGAGGAGGAGGAGGAGAAAGTCACGGTTGTCAAGAGTGCCAAGGATAAGAGATTGGATGAGCTTGAGAACACGATCAAGCTGATTGAGAACGCCAAGAAGATCAACGACTGGGCAGTTATCTCGACAGGTGCGTTTTGTTCCTTTCATATGCCGCTATCTGTTTGAAGACGGGAATAGGGAGGTGGGTTGAATGGGTGAGATGGGCTGACATGGTATAATAGAATTCGACAAGCTGAACCGACAGATCGTGAAGATCACGCAATCTGGTCCGACTCCCAAGGTTTACATCAAGACTGTTGCGGACCTCGAGGATTTCGTGAACGAAACTGTTTCCAAGCAGAAGTCCGGAGATAAGAAGCTGAACGCTAGCCAGGCCAAGGGCTTCAACGCTGCCAAGCAACGTATCAAGAAAAATAACAAGGACTACGCCAACCTGATCAACAAGTACCGGAAGGACAAGGATGACTTCATGGAAAGCGACGACGAGGAGGCCGCCCCCATTGTTGCTGCTCCCCGCATCACCAAGTTGGAGCGTGTCGAGGCTCCTGCTGCCGTTACTGTCGATGATGATGGCTTCGCAACTGTTGGCCGCGGTGGCAAGACTCTCCAGTACACTCCTGAAAGCATCCTGAAGCACCTCCGTGTAATCGTCGAGTCGCGAGGAAAGAAGAACACAGACCGCCTCGAGCAGATTCGGACGATGGAGAAGCTTCTGGAGGTGGCTCAGACTCCTTATCAGCGCATTCGTGTTTACCTCACCCTCATTTCCACGCGTTTCGACCTCACATCCACGTCTAGTGCCAACTACATGGCCGTCGACCAGTGGAAGTCCGCCGAGCAGGACTTTTCGTCCCTACTCTCTGTTTTGGAGAACAACCGTGACCATGTTGTGACCGAAGGTGCCGAAGAATGGGAAGATGACGAGAAGCAGCCCACCATTGCCCCCGGCGAGACCCTCTACATTCCCGGTAGCATCGTGTCTTTCGCCGAGAGACTCGATGACGAGCTTACTAGATCCCTGCAACACATCGACCCCCACACCGCTGAGTACATTGAGCGTCTGAGTGATGAGAAGCTGTTGTACACCGACCTCGTTCGCGCCCAAGCCTACGTCGAAGTTTTGAACCAAGCCGAAAAGAGCGATCCCAGACAGGATAGTGTGAACCGGGTGGTCATGAGACGGTTGGAGCACGTCTACTTCAAACCCTCTCAGGTTATCACAATTCTTGAAGAAGCCACATGGAAGGCTCTTCCCTCGGAGCTGGATTCTGGCATTACTCCTCGGGCTAACAGTGCCAATGTCGAGAACCTCGTTTTGACCCTCTGCAACTATTTGTTCAAGTACAGTGATGGTATCATCAGAGCCCGCGCGATGCTATGCCAGATTTACTTCCTTGCCCTGCACGACCAGTACTTCCGCTCTCGTGATCTGATGCTGATGTCTCATCTCACTGAGAACATTGCCAACTTTGACGTCAGCACTCAGATCCTCTTCAACCGGACGCTGGTGCAAATCGGGCTGTGTGCCTTCCGCTCCGGCCTCATCTACGAAGCCCAGAACACCCTTTCTGAAGTCTGCGGCAGTGGACGTCAAAAGGAACTCCTGGCCCAGGGTATCATTCTCCAGCGCTACTCCACGGTATCGCCGGAGCAGGAGCGTCTTGAGCGTCAGCGCCAGCTGCCTTTCCACATGCACATCAATCTGGAGCTACTCGAGTGCATCTATCTGACGTCTAGCATGTTCCTGGAAGTTCCTCTGATGGCCCAGACTTCCTCTTCTCCTGAGATGAAGCGTCGTGTCATTTCCAAGACCTTCCGCCGTATGTTGGATTACAATGAGCGCCAGGTATTCACTGGTCCTGCTGAGAACACTCGTGACGGCGTGATCATGAGCGCCAAGTTCCTTGCCGCTGGTGACTGGAAGAAGGCTGCTGAGATGCTCAACTCGATCAAGATCTGGGATCTGATGCCCCAGCCCGACAAGATTAAGGAGATGCTGTCCCAGCAGATCCAGGAGGAGGGCTTGAGAACCTACCTCTTCACCTACGCGCCTTTCTACGACAGCCTCTCCATCGCCACCCTCTCCAACATGTTCGAGCTTTCTGAGAAGAAGATCTCCGCCATCATCAGCCGTATGATTTCGCACGAAGAGCTGGCAGCTGCTCTGGATCAGGTCAACGACGCCATCGTTTTCCGCAAGGGCGTCGAGCTGTCGCGCCTCCAGTCCCAGATCGTAACTCTGGCCGACAAGTCCATGAACCTCCTGGAAGCCAACGAGAAGACTCTTGAGCAGCGCACCCAAGGTATGGCCAACGCCTTTCAGCGCGATCAGGGCGCCGGCGCCCGTGGTGGCCGTGGTTCCGGACGCGGAGGTCATGCCCGCGGTGGCCCCCGATTCCCCGGTGGCCAGCAAGGCCGTCGGCCCGGTGGACAGCAATTCGGCGGTGGTGCATTGGGCGGAGCTATCAAGGCTTAAAAAAGATTGTTTATAATGGCATCCTGTTTCTTTCTCTCATGGTCTAATGCTCCTTTTCTGGGAATACAAATGCGTATGAAATTCTGTCTGCTTCTGTTCCATTACGACCCCTGGTCGACGACACTTCGCTGTCGATCTTTCTCTCCATGTTATCATCTTATGTATGCCCTATTTTCATATTCTACAGATGGTTCGATGTCTAGACTGAATGAGAACAGAGAGGAAACCTTGTTAAATGGTGTTCTTCCACAGTAAAGATGATTCCGTCGTATTTTGACTAGTATGAAATCTCTGCGGACGCCTCTGAGTGAGCAATATATTTCAAATAAGAGCTCTTGGCTGTCTACCAGTTGCCAGTATACCCGCAAATCAACTCTCTTAATATAATTTGGAGGTAAGAAGACGCGAAAGCAATAGTACGAGTGGCGAGTCCTTGCGTATATATATACGTATAGCCGCTATCGAAGCTATTCAGATACATGCATAGTTTACACATGTGCGATGCGAGACTGAGCTGCGAGCATGAAGCGGCGGACATGCTTCGATAGTGGTCGATGATCCAGGTTTCACAAGTCCGAGTCGATTCGCCCGGGTTGCCTCGAGCAACCCCGTCTCTTGAAGGGACGGTAGTTCACGCTCCCTGGCGTGCTGTGTTGGAGCAGAAGCGAGGCGAGCAGGCTATCCG